TGGTCAGGTCGTGGGCACGCGCGGATCCTCTTCTCTTTAAACGGCCTCATTTTGCTTCTTTGTCGCCAGTGGTCGCCAGTGACCAAAAAATTCAAAAAAAAATTTTCAAAAACTCTCATCAATATCTTTTTTCCAGATCTGATCTCCTTTTTGCTAGAAACAACCTCAATAAGAGCAAATTGGGCTTTAAAATTTTTTGTTTCTTTTTTTTTTTTATTCTTTGCAAGTAACTCAGCGCTGTTGGTTCTCTGCCTAATCGGCGAGGACTGTATTGTTTTTTTTTTTTGGTTTTTCTAGTGTTTTTTGGGTTTTTGATAGGTGAGGGGTTTTTGGCTCAGTCGATGTTTGGGTTAGAGTGTAAGTACTCGTGGGGCTTAGATGTGGCTGGGCAAAGTGTTAGGTAAGAGTGGAGCCTCGGATTCATGGGCGTGTGCTAGGGATTTCTAGGCTTGGGAGACTCAAGGTTTCTAGGTATTGAAAAGCTTGGGTGCCTGTGTCTGTGTGTCTAAGAGACCTTGAAAGAGGAAAAGGCTAGATGTTTTATAGGGTTGGGAATGGTGTTGGCAGGTAGAGTATGCGCCTAGCAAGGCATGGGTGCCATGGCAAAGTAAGGTCGGTGGTTTTAGGGAGTTGGGGCAAGTGAGGTGCTAGGGCTCTAATGGGGTTGGGAATGGTAGTGGCATGGGTAAGTGAACAGGCTGGTGCTGTGCATGGCACCATGCCTGTCCTTGTTCTAACTCTTTTTTTTTTTAAGAAACTTTTTTTTAACTTTTTTTAATTAATTAAACCATTATTATTATTATTATTATTATTATTAAAAACTAAAAAAAAAAGATTTTATCTGATGGCCTAGACAAAATTCAATGTCTACAAAGAAGAGTCTCAGTAAAAGTCTACACTTTAAAAAATCAACGAACAGGGCAATCAAGGTGTACATGGATGCTAACTATGTTGGATCAGTAATAGATAAAAGGTTCACTATAGGATATTGCACTTATGTATTGGTGAAGTAAAAAGCAAGTTGTTGTAGCTATGAACAGTGCTAAGGCTGAGTTTAGAGTAATGTTCCATAGTATTTGTGAAGGAATTTGGTTGATGAAGTTACTTGGAGAATACTTTAAGAAGTAAACGGACATGGTAGTTAAGGTGTACATGGATGCTAACTGGGCTAGATCAGTAATAGATAAAAAGTCCACTACAGGATAATGCACTTATGTATTGGCGACATAAAAGGCAAGCTGTTGTAGCTAGGAACAGTACTAAGGCTGAGTTTAGAGCAATACATTATGGTATTTGTGAAGAATTTGGTTGATGAGGTTACTTGAAGAATTAAAAGTTTAGATTGTGACATCTATGACTCTATTTTGTGACAACAAGGCTACTATAAGTATTACCAAAAATCTTGTTTATCATGACAAAACCAAACACATAGAACTGAACTGACATTTTATAAAAGAAAAGATAGAATAGAAAATGGGTTGGCCAAACTAGCCTATATCCCCACAAATTGACTAAAACTCTTCCTAATAGTATATTTGACAGATTAAAATCCAAGCCAAGTATGATTAACACTCACAACCCAATGATTAACACTCACAACCCAATTTGAAAGGGAGTGTAGAAATTCGATTCTCCCACATTAGTGTAATTATTTCCTAATTCTTCTTATTTAATCAACTATTCTTATTGTTAAGTTTTTTAAGAATTTGTTTCTATTTTAGAATATTATAATTCGTTTTCTGTCATTATTTCTCATGTTTCATGTAAGTTGTTTTCTAATAAAGAACATCAATGTTCCTATTTACTTTGATTTACTTCTTCATTTTAAAATAATAAAAGAAAAATATAATTGTTCTCTAAGTTTTTTACATCTACTTTAATCATGTTTAGGTTCATATTATTATAGATCAACATGCCTATGTCAATGCCTTTTTTTTTTTTTATATTGGTGATTGTACATGCTTGCTTTTCTAATGTATCAGTATTGTAAGCATTTTATACCAAGTAGGAATATAACTTTACATGAAGCATGTTATAGGAGGCATAATGTTGTTTGTCAACATGTTGTTTGTGGAATTATTTTTAGGATTAAAAAGGCTAAAAATTATGTGTGTTGCGACAGATATGAAAAAGATGAAGAAGACGTCTTAGGTATCCTTTTGTAGTAGTCCTTAAGAAGAAAGACATGGTAGACCACACTCCTTTCTACATAAAATTTATTTCAATTTACTTTATTTCAATTAATTTGGTCATTATTACTGTCAATTTTAGTTAGTTGATTTCAAACATGGAACATGAGTTAATTCAAGAATCTGACAACTATTTAAGAGGGAACGCTTCATATGTTATTTTCATGTTGGTGAATTTGATCTTCAATGTAAGGTGTTGACAAAGTTTTCTGTGTATATATGTATATGCTTTTGAGTTCTTGGATTGCCATATAATGTTCATGTATTTATTTGTTAATAAACCTGTAAACTTTGTGATACTGTATAGTTTTATTCATTTACAAGATGTGCCATTTGAGTAGAATTTTTGTTTACTATTTCTCAGTATGCACGTATGTTTCATGGTTGACAAGAGTTTGACACATTAAGTTTTGTTAAGTTAAATGCCCTTTGAATTGGATGAATATGTAATTGAATAATTGGATTAATTATGTTTAAGAATAAAATTACATCATATTAATTATAATATCAAAAACATGTGTTCTATTTGTTACTAGCAACATTACATATGTGCATATATTTTTAATTATGATTTTCAAATTTATAGGTTGAAAATATTTTTCAATGATAAATGAAATATTCAGTAATTATTCGTTGAAAAGATCAAAATAACATCAACATCGATAGTGAAAATGGTATTATTTTTTTTGTCGAAAGCTTTTGAATTATTATTTTTTTTATCGATTTGAATTTTATTTTGTGAAATTGAAACTCCATTTGATTATTTTAGAGATTTTTATTCCACATTTGATTTTGAGATACATTATTTCTTAGTATGATTTTATAAATTCTAAACCTAAGGTAAGAAAATTGAACTCTTTTTATTAATTGAAATTTTGTTTTATCCATTAAATACTTGGGATAAAACTAAATTATTAATTTTAGACAAAAAACTAAAATCATTATGCAAAAGCAGCTTTTTACTTTAGATTCTATCCCTTTTCATTTGTTATAAACTTTTTTATTATTGATTATATATGTGCTTTGCATATTGAGCATTGTGGTAATAAATGATGGTGGTTGTAGGTTTCTTTGATTGTATATTTGGTGCAAGAATAGTTTTTTTTTTTTGTTTTTAATTTTCTTTTTATTTAGGGTTAAGAAAACATAAAGATTGAAAGCTAATAAATGTAGAAGACATTCAAGTCATGTTTTGAATATGAATATTAATTTTATTATTAATAAAGCTGGTGGTAGAATGAGACATGTTGATATTTTACATATAATGTGAGTGGCAGGAGAGGAATAGCATTAGATAAATTAGATTACAATTTAAACAATGGTAAGGGTGGTGTTGTAATTCTTTCGATTTAAAGTAATCATATTGAGTTTCATACAATTTCTATTGAAGATACCATACCTCTTGATCCTTAATTTTCATTGGATGTTGCACCAAATTAAGAAGCCAATGTCTGATTTTTTGTGTGACGATTCTCTATATTCTTTGCATGCTGATTGTTGTTTGTGACTTTTTTAATTTGCAATGAAAAATACTTGAAGCAAAGTGAATCTAGATGCAGTAAAAGAATGTTTAATACTTTTTTTTGTTCATGTTTTTCTTTCCTTGTGTTGGTGAAATTTCATTGTTCTTTACTTCTTTGATATAATATTTAGTAAGTGTGATTTTCTCATGTAATATTTCTCTCGGGACTGTCTATTGTACAAGCAGCATTGCCTCCAAAGAATTGTCCCTTTTGTTTTTGCCGGGGAGTGTAATTTGCATCCTGATGTATGATAGTACTATGCTACATTTCTGATGCAGAACATGAGGAATTCTGCAGTCTTGTTCACTTATGAAAGAAGAGAAGCACCTTACAATCAAGGTTCATTCAGAGAGCTAGCTCCAAGATAAGGGTCAATCACAATTCACCTGTTCAAATATTGAAGCTTTATCTTGAGTTGATGTTTAGTTTTGCTCAGGCATGAAGCAGCAATGGTTTCTGACTCCCAGTAAACAAAAATACCACCCTGTGCCTAATCTGTTCAGGTACATTATCATACATTTCAAGTTCATATATCCTGTTTCCAGACATATAAATCTAGGTATACGTATTTGGGCATGATCACATCAAAATTATTGTGTCAAAGATGGCGATTCGTATGGTAGACACATAAGAGTATCTGTATCAGGTGATAAATGAATACTAAGTTGCCTATATCTGTATCAGAATAAGCCAAATTACTAATTGTCTGGACTACATTAATTCTATAACTTTTTGCAGAAAATTATATCAAGTTTACTTTAGGCTCAAATAATTCTTGTCAATACATGGCGCTTAATACGTACATAAACTTCAATCAGCATAGGCAACTTAGTTGATAGAGATTTCTTGCTCAGAAAAAACAAACCAGCAGAGCAACAAAACTTAAATGCTACTTGTTGAAAACCTGAAGGAGGGGAGGGACAGGCATGTCTGGGCCATTACAAGACATGTTTCAAATGCCTCAGCATAAGCATCTGCATAATGGCTCATGATTTTGGAATGATCAACAAGCAGGCACATTTATATGCAAAATATAATGTCTTTATAATTAAAGTCCAAGTGATTGAACAAAGATGCACAGAAGTTCAACAACCCTGATATAGTTTACCTTTCAATAAGCCATAGTGTTTAGCAACATAAGTTCATGATTACTATGTAAACCAAAATGGAACAACATTGATCATTACAAATTCAACATAGTAAAACTATTTAGATTTCCTTCAAATATTGGTGGTCCGTCAGATACCGTTACATTAAAGAGGTCCAGCTGGTATAGGAAGATGAAAACCTAAGCAGTTTTTGGCATAAAATAGAAGCCAGCTCCCATTTGGTGAAACATGCAACAAATTTCAGCTCCATCCTCCAATTTCAGCTACAGAATAAGATTGACAGTTAAAGCCATAATCACCATGTTGAAATTGCTGTAATATCATAAAGTAACAGCAAAATGCTTGGGTAATGGTGAATAATAGTAACGCACTTGACAAACGGCACCAAAAGTTGTTCATATATGAGCATAACAAAAATTCAAGGTGAAAAAAGCTAAGCTCAAATTCTTTAGACATCTTATGTTATTCTCAGGAAATGGTTTCTACGACTATGGTTGTCTGTGTTTGTCATCAAAAGGAGTATTATTCTTCTTTCCAGGCAGGGAGAGAGTTCAACATAATTTACCACCTAAGGCACAAAGTTATGTGAAATAGGAAACGGTTTCCGCATGCATGCCTAAAAAGAAAGTAGCTAAAATAATCAAGAACACAATCAATGGAAAATCTGTTCTCATGATGCAGAAGATTAGAACTGGATAGAAATACTTGATAGGACACGGAAATTGAAGAGAAAACGAGATTTTGTATGCAGAACATAATTATTCAGCTGGACTTTCTAATTGTTCATTGTTGATTCCCTGCATTTAAGAAGAGTAAACCTAAAGTTTCTAAGGTAGCAAACCATTCATTTCCAAGAACCTTTATCCACTAGATTCATAGGATTGAGGGTTACCCTACACATTTTATTGTAATTCAGAAAAAGCCAACATGGATCTATAGAGAGACTACCTAGGAAGCTCTTGATCTGATCAGAAATTCCAAAGAAATAATATACTGAATAAACAGTTCAGTGAACAGTTTTTCTAGTTGTTACGTGATGTTGAAAGAAATCTCCATTTAAAGCACATTTAACATATTGGGGGATGGAAAAGAAGAAATAAGGCACCTTATCTGCTGTGTATTTCCCTGGAACACGATGACCTTCGTGAATAAATCGGACGGTCCGAAAATCCAATTGCTTCTTTCTGCAGTAAGCATGCATGAGTTTGCTTAACTTGAGATTGCGCACAATCTTATAGACAACTGTACTCCCATCCTACACAACACACACACAAAGAGAGAGAATTAAATGCAGAATATCATGCTAAGGGATGTCTAAGAATGAGTAAGAGTCAGTTGAATTGTAATATCAACAAAAACACTGGAGAAAAGAATCAGCTTCTTGATCTTCTAACAGTAGGAATAGTAGTCCCTAAATTACTTAGTCTTCAAGCAGTCTTAATAAAGCTTTCTATTGCTAACCATTGAAGCCACTTACGAATCAAAACAGGAAATCATGTGCTTCTGCTATCATGAGGACATCCATTCCTATGTCCCTCAAAAAAATATGCAATTGCAAGCTCTCCATATTTTAATCATAGTAAGTCATTAAGTGATTTTCCGCAACCAGTATCCCATTGTGAAGTCACCTGTTTTTCATAACATCAAGTTTTTGTATTCCAGCCACCAAAGTTGTTCATCATATCCCACATTTTCCCTTGTTGGAGCAATGTAAGCTGTTATTATCGTATTCCCATGAAACTCACTTCATTCAACTCCTTCAAATTATGTGATTACAGGGACTTGATGCCTGGGTTCAGATATGTTTAGCTAGAACCCCATATGTCAATGATCACTAAACTACCTGTTGAAAATTTTCATCTTCTTTAAGAAATAAACCACTCAGGTTTATGTCTAACAAGGTGTACGTCTTAGTCATTCTTTTCGGTTTTTTGTCCTCTTCTCCTAGGAATCTTCAGAGAACTTCTTTTGAACAATGTGGGATGGGTTCTGAGCATGAGGGAAATGCCGGGGTTATAAACCCACGGAGAAACCCATAGCAGGGAACAGCTTTGATGATCTATTGCATGACCCAACAGAGCACCCATGCACTCATTACAGGACAAATTTTCATCAAATAGGTAAAAACCCAGAGAGGAAATAAGTTGGTTCCATTTCTACACTCTAAACATCTCAAGAATCACTTGAAAGTAGATGATAGAAACAAGGTATTCGAATACAAAGATTCACAAAGTTTTTAGCTAACGAGAAAAGAATCCTAGTTCCTAAAAGAAAAGAACATACGAAAACAAGAAAGGGAGCAAGAAGTGCACCTGACTTTTCACGCTAACTTTGATTGTCTCAGGTTGACCATCAGCATTGCTCTTGGCTCGACCACCACCACCACTACCACTGGGCTGAGACATTTTCCTTCAGGAATTCAGGAGGGCAAAAACCTTTTTTAACAATGCAGAAAAAGAGAGGGAAAAAAAAAAAAAAAAGAGATAGGTGATGATGGTGACAAGAAGCAAGTAAATAAAAGTGGACAGCAATTGCTTTTTCTTTTTTGTGTGTTTGAAGAAACCGAGGATAAAAAAGGGAAGATCGTAGAGAAAAGATTTCGATACTGTCTGTGTCAGCCTGTCACATTGATTCTGTGACATGCAAAGATCAAAGTGAATCAATTTCATTTCAGAAGACTTTTCCAAATAAACTGAGAGTCTGTCACTTTCAAACTCCTGGGGACCAGGGTCTGGACAGAATCACCCATTGGTTTTGGGAAAAAAAAAAATGCTTGAAGTTGCCAGCCATTAAAATCAAATATCTTTTATTAAAAAAAATTGCTTAAAAATTATATTCAGTAGTTAATTTTTGACAGTGTCCGTACTAAACAATTTTCATTTGTTACAATACTTAAAAATAATATTATTATTACTAAAATTCGATGTTTAATTTATTAATTAATATTGAGTTTTTCACCTAAGTTGAAACTCGACTGAATTTTTTTTGTAGGACTAATAAGTTGAATTGGACACCAAGGAAATCCAAGTTGTGGTAGGACAAGGAAATCCTAATCGTTGTTGGGGATTTCTAGGTTTCTACAGAGCCGGCATGTGAACCTATAAATAGTGCTCACATATTGAAACTGTCCCCTTGAAAAGAAAAATCACAAAAAGCTGAAAATCCTGGCCAAAGTCTCCGCAAGTCGTGATTGCAGCCTGTTCAGAGATCAGAAGCAGATAATGGTGCCGATGATGAAGAAGCAAATGGGAATGGTACAACTTCCTGATGATCTAATCATTGAGATAATGGCTAGACTTCCACCCAAATCTGCATTGCGTTTTCGATGCCTTTCAAAATCCTGGAAAGCTTTTCTTTCAAGTCCTAACTTCATCAGGATGCACCTAAACCATGTTACAGAAAACAAATACAAGTATATGCAGCAGCTTGTTCTGTCTTCTACTTATTCTCTTCAATTGATGAACTACACAGCATATAAAAAAACAGCTTCCACACTTGATTTTCCGATGGAATATCCAAACTGGAAGCGTTTTCCCACTCTTTTTGTCATGGTTTTGGGTTCTTGTAATGGCTTGTTATGCGCAGCTGTGCCAACGAAAACTCTTATCATATGGAATCCAAGTATCAGAGAGTTCAAGAAACTACCCCTCTCTTGTCCTTTGAATGACAGCAAGCTGGACGGCTTCGGGTTTGGTTATGATCACTCTACTGATGATTACAAAGTCATAAGATTTCTTTATTCCATCGGTAGGGTAGTTTTAGCTGAAATCTATTCACTAAAATCTAACACCTGGAAAACAATCCAACGCTACCATGTTTTTATGCACTTTGACAATTCAATGCCAGGGACTCTTGTTGATGGGGTCCTTTATTGGACTTGTGATATGTTTAGATAACCCTCAACAAGGCCAAGAAGGTGGTCCCTGTTCGGATACTGCCCATTGGATTCTTGGATTTGATCTAACATTTGACAAATTTGAGGCTTTTCCACCACCAAAAGATCTAAAAGAGGAAAGTAAGTTCACATTGGGGGTGATCGGAGGATGCCTAAGTCTGGCTCAAAATCTTTATGGGGATAGAATAGAGATGTGGAAATTGGACAAGGGTGACACAAAAAAGGGTTGGATAAAGGTAATGACAATTATGAATCCGCAAAGACTGCCATGTCCGTATGGTTTGGTGCCAATATGCATTATGAAAAATGGTGAAGTCCTCCTTTCTTATGATGAAATTATGCTTTTCTCTAGAAGTGTAACAAAGCCAAGAAGATTTGTGTTGTATGATACGGTAAAAGGCACATTCAGGAAACTAAAAATTGATGGAATAGGGCAATGGTCTCGAGCAATACCATACATTGAAAGTTTGGTTTCACCCAACTTAATTTGATGGATGGCATCAGAGCATGCAATTCATGAAGCTTCATATTGCAGTTCAAGTTTAAGGTATGATTCATAGATCAATGATATATTTCAGCACTCATGGCTTTAATTTTTTTTTTGACTGTTAGTATTTTTCAAAGTGAATATTTATGTAATTTGCAGTGCAAGATGAGGATAAGTAACACTTATGTTAGATTTTTCTTTTAATGGTTTTTTTGTTAGATTTATTATTCACTTTTTCATTCTATTTTCTTTGTTTATATTTTAATTTTTAAATGCCTATAAAACTATGTCTTTTAATTTAAAATCTATGTATAAAAAATTGATTTTAATGTTAAATGCACTAAAATCAATTTTTTTCTTAAATTTCATAAAAATTAATCAAAAATATATACTTTAAAATGGAAAGAAAAATTAAGAACAATTTTAATTTATTTCATTACATAAAAAAAAAAAAACAATATTTACTCCAATGATCAAAGCTATAGGAATACTTCTTTTACCAACATGAAGAGAATCATGTAATTAATCATATGGGAAAACTTGTTTTATAAATAAAAATCAAACTTAATGGATGTATGAATTATTTTTATTTTCCATAAAGATATCATTAGAAAAAAATATTTATTGTATTGCTTTTTCTTTTTGAACTTTTAAAACTTGTTACATGTTAAAAAAAAATTCCTATTAAATTTAAAGCCTTTTGGCAACATGGGTGGGAGTCCATTTTACACATTCGGGGATGCAAAATTTAAAAATAAGGTGTTCATGGATGTTTTAAAGATTTGGAAATAAAAAAATTTGAAAGAAAATTTTTTATGGACACCTATAAAATTTTCTCTTTTACACCATTTTCATGGAGAAAATTAATAAATTCGTCGATAGTTATTAATTGTTTAGTTCCTTAAATTAAAATGATTGTATTTGATAAATTAATAATGATGTCACTATTTTTTTTTTGAAATATAAAAATTTATTTATGGATAATTGTAATAATAAAGTAATATACAATTGTGAATTTAATCATTAAAATTAGGATACAATAAAAAAGATTTCTATTGCCAAAGGATAATCAAATTCTCAAATTTATTTATTTATTTCAACAAAAACACATAATTTAAGCTTATTTTATTTATTTCATTAAAATGATTAAATCATTTTGTTGGTTTAATTTTTTTTTTCAAATGGTGTTAAGAGCATATTTTTTATATTAATGTGATTTATTTTATTTTGTGTTTTTTACAAAAAAATTTATTTTACCACCATAAACACGCTAACACGCTATCGTGGGTTGAATTTTTTTATTTGTACTGAACAATATTTATGATTAATTTAATAAATCATTGAGCACAGTTTCGTTTATAATTTTTAATAAAAATAATAATTAGTGAAAATTTATCAATTACTTTATATATAATGTGTTCATTTCGTTCTTACACTTTATATAATAAATCAAATTCAAATAAATTATTTCAAGTTTATCTTTTAAATAATAACTTATTAATATAATATAATATATATGAATATAAAATTAAATAAGTAATTAAATATATAAATTTAGGAGAAAAATATCTTAAATCCGCTTCTAAACCAATCAAGTTTCTCTTTAAAAAATCTAACTTGTACTAATTTGATTTTGATTCAAAAAAATTATATCTATTGAATTAAAACAGATTAAAATTCATTAGATATAAACAATTTTATTATTTTTATTTATCGATTTTTTAATTACAAAATTAATTTAATTAAAAAATGTAAAAAAGATAAAAGTAAAAAAAAATGGTGATGTCACGTCGAGATATCCATTCACCTTGTTTCTTTGTAAAATTACTATATAAATTTTTTTAAAAAAAATAGTGTGCTACTTTAACACTTTAACACTGCCATCTATATACCTTTTTGGAAAATTATCTAATTTAAAAAAGACCAAATGGAAAAGAAAAAAATTTAATTAATAATATTAAATAGGTCCACATCATTTAAAAAAATTAATTAATTAAATATGTAAATATGAGAAAAAATAAAAATAAAAATAAAAAAGATAAAAAAGCAAAAAGGTTGTCTCTTGGCAAGCCTTACAAAAAGTCAAATAAAATCAAAGTTACCAAAATTTTTATTATGAATAATAATTATATTTAATTTGGCATTAAATTACAATAATTTTATTGGCAAAAAATTATTGATGAATCAATTTTTTTTAATTTTTAACAATTTTTTTAATTTTCTTCATTTATATTCATATCTAAATTATATTATTATTAGGTGGGTGTACGCATTTTCATGGGTTAAAATTTTTTTGTTAAAAATTTTACCTATTTAAAAATGACTTATAGGATGTTAATTTTTTTATTAAACAAAAATATTTTGGGTTAAATGAAGATTTTTTTTCTTGAAAAATTTATATAATGAATTTTAAAAAACAAAAACTAAAATAAAAAAAAATTAAATTTGAATGCTGACATTCACTCCTTTGCTAATATTTTTTTCTTTAGAGTTATCAAATTAAAAAAATGAGAAAAAGAAATCATATTTTAGATAATCTAATGAAATGAGTCCTATATTAAAGAAATTTTAAAATATTTTTAAACAAAAAAGAAAAAAGTAAATTAAAAATAAAAAATAAAAAAAATCAAATAATTTGACATGTGACATATTTTTTAGATGAAGTGAGTCTTTAAAAAAACAAAAAAAACTATTAAATATATAAAAAATGAATAAAGAAAAAAGTAAAAAAAATACATGAAATGTTATTTGTATTACGTGAATCTTAAAAAAGTAAAATCTAAAATATATTTATTAAATATTTAAAAAATAAAAAAAAGCAAAAAAAGAAAGTTCCATATAAAAGAATTTCACACATGATAAAATAAAAGCTTTTAAAAAGAGAAGTTAAAAAAAAAAAAAAACGAATATATGCATTGACAGCTAAAAATAAACTGTGTTCCATATATTATCAAAATTTAATGTTTAAAATATAAATTTTTTTTAATAAAAAATCCAGAAGAGATTCGAAGAATGTTTAGATTTTTAATTTTTAATAAAAAAATCCAGTAGTAGAAGAAGGGATTACAAAAAATTAAAGAAAGAGAAGATTCATAATAAAAACACCGACGACACCGAATAATCAAATCCCCTCAACAAAAATTTTGCCCCAAAAAAATCCGTCTCCTTTCCTTTCTTTCTTTTGCTTGCTCGTCTCCTCCACCGTCTCGATATTCTCTTTTTCTCTTCTCCAATTTGAGCAACAAAGCGTTTTCTTCTTCACTTCTTTTTTCCTTTCTCTCTCTCTCGATGCCCTAGCCACCGTCCGTCGCCGGAATTCCCCAGGGCGCATCGTCGCCGCCGGCGATACTGTGGCACCAAACTAGCAATCTCTCTCTTTCTCTCTCTAGGGTTTGGTTTTTTTATTGGATTCTGGAATTATATTTGAATTTGGATTCGATTACGCAGAAAGGAATAACAACGACGACGAAAACGACCGCGTAGGATCTGTTAGGGTTTTAATCTTGATGGCTGGGAGTCGTAAAAGGGGAGGGAACAAAGCAAAAGTTAAGAATCTAAGTCTAGGCGATCTTGTTCTTGCCAAAGTCAAGGGTTTCCCTGCCTGGCCTGCCAAGGTCACTTCCTTTTTCCCTTTTTCCCTTCTTCTCTTTTTTTTTTTTTTTGAATCTTATTATTGTTACTGTTTATTTTATCCTGAATTCTGGGACTTCTATACTCTGATGGTTATATTACTATATTTGTTCGTTTTATACTCAATTTGTTTCTTTTAGTAGTTTTTTTATTTAGTGAAAGGCCTAATTTTGGAATTCAATGTCCTGCCATGCGTATGTTAGCAGATTGTGATTTCAGTATTTCAGGTTTGGTACTTTGCCTGTTTCTGAATTGGGTTACTTAATGGAAATATGCAAGTTCTCTATTTTGGGACTGAAAAATAGGAAAAATATCTGTTTTTTTTTTTGTTGTATCCTAGATTGGTTTGATCTTCGCAAATGCATTAGAAATTTAGTGAGGGATTTTGATTTATTTTGTTACTTAGAACTCAGTTTTTTTTTCTTTTTAATTTTGGTTTACGGTTGGTTTTTGAGGTCGATTCCATGGGTTATGAATTTCAGATTAGCCGGCCTGAAGATTGGGAACGAGAACCTGATCCTAGGAAATATTTTGTCCAATTCTTTGGAACACAAGAAATGTAAGTATTTCATTCGTTCGATTTGTATATATTTGGTGAATGAAGGAGATGGCAACATGATGGATAAAGATAGGTGATGTGTCTGTTATAGGTTTTGCATCTGATTTCTGTTAGGAGGGAAAACGCATTTTACGTAAGATGGAACGTGAGATAAATACATGAAAGGTCTTAATGCATAATTTCCTTGAAAAAAAATTAATATTGTTGTATTCCAAATAATGTGTCACATATGCAGATCCAAGCAGACAAACCTTGATGTGGTCTTTACTTTGCTAATTGAAGTCTTGTCTTTACTTTGCTAATTGAAGTCTTTTTTTTTCCCTTTCAAAGTTGTTCTCGTAAGTTGCTTGCTGACTAGAGGATACATTGAAACTCGCTTCATTTATTCTATCTCCTGTGCTGTCTACATACATTGCTGCTTTTCTTTCCATCCATCTCCTTTGGTCAGGGGATTATAGGATGCACACTGTAATAACAACAGGTAAAAATTGGTAATATGAAGGGTCTATGCTGAGTCCTCTATGTGTTACAATACTGACTGTAGGCAGCTCAGTCATTTAGCTTGAGGTTGCATAATATAAACTTCTGGAGCACACCATTCTAACGATGGGGGAATACTATTTTGGCAGATGTGATAAGTCATGCAGATTATCTGGGAATTTTACATCTTATGGTTTCTTGATATGATAATTTGGGAAATCATGAGATGTGCTTTAGGTAACCAAGTTTTTCATCCTAGGATGGAGAAAATCAAGCACTGATACAATGACAAATGATGTAATATTTTTCTACTTCTACAGGTTCTTAGTATAGCATATTTAATATTTGAGTTAATTGTTTGTTTTGGGGTAGTGGAAGATATCTTTCTACCATTTTGTGGTGGTTGTTAGCTCTGAAGCTGATGTTGGTTGACGAAGCTTTCTTGGACTTGTGTTCTTCTCAGGAATATTAGTATAGCATATGCGGGTTAGTTAGGATTGGAGGTTATTCCTAATCTCCAATATGTTACAAAAGGAGTTATGATACCATGTAGTTGTTGAATTGGATAATTGTTAATGGTAATAAAAAAATTTAAAATCTGTTTAATGGTTTCATTCTGTGACCATTTGGCAACCATTTCTCATAATTTAAGCAATTTAATGTTTGTGTCAACTTATATGGGAAATCATGGTGCTTTACGATTGTCTGGTTTAGCTTCTGAAATATCTTCTCTACTTTAGAAAACTGAAGTAGGTGAAACATGGATTTCAAAATTTTTATCTTTTATAGCCAATGGAATGAGCTTGTAAGAGCTAACAGTGAAGCTCTGAATTGAAATATCTGCTTGTAGAAGGTGATAGGTCTACATAACAAAAATTACTTAACAGACCAAAGCACCTATTTTAAATAATTTTATATGTTATTATTATTTTCTTAATACTCTATTTCAGCAATGCTTAGGCTCTTAATATCGATGTATTTATGGGTTGTAGTGAATGTTGAAGTCATATTGTTCAAGAAAGCAAAGGTGTTTAGCTTTATTATTAATCATGATCATTTCTTTATTACTAAATTGTAACAGTGCTGAATTTGAATGTTGGTGTAGCTTTTTTTGGTGTTTGAATTGAATGTCATTGCAATTTTCCAATTATTATTTATTGTTGGTGTTAAATGGATTTGTGGTTTAGGTATTTTTGTGTGCTATCTTAGATTTTATTCTCATATTTATATTAATGTAGAATTTTAGAATTATTCTTTTAATTTCTTGTAGAGAATGACCAAACTTGATGGAGGATTTATTCATAATGTATGGCTGTAGCACATTTAGGTTACAACAATGGATCTTTATTTTGTACAATGGAACTTTTATGTTTGGCTGATAACATTTATTTGTCTGCTTTTCATCTTGAATGTTGAATGGACAGTCTTTGTAGCTACAAGTATCTCAAAAAGAAATACAGTTCAAACCGATCTTGTATATATTTGGAAACTGTTTGGACATAAGGTTTTCAGTTTTACTGTCATGTTAAGGTTTGTCTTTAACATATTACCTAAGTTGTATCCAAATAGCTTCCCAAATTCTAACCATGGATTAAAGGAGCATTTATGGTTCTGGTTATATTCAATATGTTATAGTTTAGCATTTTGAGATTTTAGCTGAAGTTTGTTAGGCGTCAGTGTGTGGTGGTTTACATATGGTATGCGTGGAAGCCTTCAAGTAATGTTATTTTAAATGCCCTGAAAACAAGCACAGCTGGAGTTGTCCTTAGAAAGCTTTGCGTAAGTGGTTTATTTGTGGAAAGACTGAAGTGGTTATGGGAATATGGGTAATTTGGTATTTTGGTTTTTGGAAATGTTCATCTGTTCAGGGCTTCTATTGGGATTTTTTTTTTCTTGTTGACTTTGTTGTTGCTTTCATATTTGCATATCTATAATCATGGTTAAGCTGTGAGGCTTAAATCTTAAACTTGAATGGAAGACTTTATTCCTTTTTGGTTCCTTATGATTGGATGACGATGCTTCTGCTTCTGAATTATGCAAAAGACATCTTTACGTTTGTTGAAAATCCAAATCTGTTCTTCCTGCCTTTTGTTTATTTTATAACACTTGGTGTATTTTCTTATATTCCTTCAGCATATCATGTTGATGCACATGTGAGTTAGTTGATAACTTTATATAACTGCATCTTTTTTTTCTTAAAGCTAGTATTTTTGCTATTGGGATTTTCATATTTCATTATTGAAGTTTTTGACTCTGCATTTTTAGTGTAAAAAGGAGCAATGCTTTTCACTCCTGGCCAATAGATGCATGCTTGTATCATTATTTTCTCTTAGACCTACTCTTTGAATTTCAGTTCATTTGTGTTCTAGTTGCTTAATGTTCCCCTATGTTTTTCTTGTTTTACAGAGCTTTTGTTGCCCCTGCTGATATTCAAGCATTTACTAGTGAGACAAAGAGTAAATTGTCTGCTAAGTGTCAAGTTAAAACTAAGCACTTTGTCCAAGCTGTTAAGGAAATCTGTGTGGCATTTGATGAATTAAATGAAGAGAAGTCCAGTGGTTTGAGAGATGAAACTAATAGATCAACACCTGGCTGTGAGGCTTCATCTGTTGATGGGGTTGGGGATGATAGTGCAGAGGCTGACTTAAAGAACGGAATAGGTGCACTAGCACCTGGAAGAGAAGCCACTAGCGAGGGAAAAGGTGATCTTGTTTCCAATTTGGGGTGCTGTTCACGCAGAGGTGAGAATAATAGTGAAGATATAAAGCCGTCAATTTCGGGTCATGTGGATGATAGCTCATCTCCGCATATGTCTTCTGAGGGGAAACATAAAATGTCAAATGGTGAACAATCTAAAAAGGTGTTGTCTCCATCATCTTTAGATGAGCCTTCTCATATGAAGGAAGAATTCTCTGATGATAAAATTGCTACTGTCAATTGTACTAAGAAAACATTGAGGGATGATTCGAAGTCAAAGAAGATGGCCCCTGGGCCGGAGAAAAGAACTGAGGAAGGACACAAACGCAGCAGCTCAGCTGCAACATTATCGAGGGATGATAAATCTGGTGGTTATCTTGATCGGCCTGATTCTAGGGAGCAATTGAAAGATAGAGTAAAAGGCAAAGTCTCTGGAAGTGGTGTAAGAAATTTCTCACCAGATGCTATCAAATCAGATTCTGATTACACTGGTAGTAAAAGAGCAAAGGAATTGCTGAAAACCAAAAGCAACTTCAAGGCTACTGATGACATATGGGACAATGTGGCCAATTCCAAAGGTGAAACTACTGGCAAGAAAATAAGGGGTGAACCTGGACTTGGAAAGCCAAAACTGGGAACAGATGAAATTTTACATCCTGCAAAAAAATCTAAGTTTGCAGATATGAAAAATGATTCTTCAAAAGGATCTATTGTCAAAAACATGAAAAGTAATTCTCCAAGTTCTAAAAGTGTCAATGACAAAGCACCTAAACAATCAGAGTTGAAAAGACCCACATCTCATGTGTTAGCATTGAGAGCCCAAACAGTCATTAGATCTGATGTTTCTGGTGATGAAGCTGTGCTGCCCTTACCAAAGCGCCGTCGGTGGGCTTTGGAGGCTATGTCTGATTCTGCCTCTCTTAATTCTGATGATAAAATTGTAAAAAATCCTGTTGAATTGAAGAATGATACTTCAAGTTCTAGTAATGTGAAAATTCCAGCTACCCAATTGTCCAAAAGGCGGAGAGCTGTTTGTCTTTATGAGGATGATGAAGACGATCCCAAAACTCCTGTTCATGGAGGATCTGCCAGGAATGTTAAGGTAACTTCTGTTGTTTCTGATGGTTCAAAGAGCATTGATGTAAATCACGTGAGTGCTATCAATGCTCAACATAGTGTTGGAGATTCCACCCGACATGAGAATACTGGTCCCAAGGAGGCTTCTTCACAATTAGCAAATGATTTTGTGTCACCTCTTCGACCACAAACTGTCGAACGGAGGCCTTCTAGTCATGCCTCTGTCACTCCTGAAAGATCAAAACTGGAGCAGTTGTCTTCCAAGGAGGCGAAACCAGTCTTGATTTCCCCAAGGAAGTCTCCTCATCTGGTTTCCGCCACCAAACAAGTCGTTGAACAACATATAACTACTAAAGCTACTGTTAAGGTTTCCAATAATGGAACTCAGAAAAGGGCTCCATCTGGCTCTGTTAAGGGATTGGGTGTGGTTTCTGATGGTTCAAAGTCTTCTCAGAATCAGGCTTTGAATCAAAGATATGGGCCAGCTTCTTCTGTAGAAAGACTGAAATCTACTCCCAAAGCAAGTTCACGTGTAAACGACACAACTTTTGACACAACTTATGTTACCGAAACTTCAACGGAGTATGGCTCTGCATTATCCTTCTTCTTCTTCTTCTTCTTCTTCTTCTTGTTAATATATTTAGTTAATCCTTTTTTAAAGGTATTATATTAATCTTCATTGCATATTGTAGAATAATCTTTTTCTGTACAGATTTGATGTCTTTAGGGAAGATAGAAGCGGTTCATTTAATGATTCCAAGACTCCAGATTCTGCTTTGTCTATGAAGCATCTTATTGCCGCTGCTCAGGCAAAAAGGAAACAAGCTCACTCTCAACAATATTCTCTTGGAAATCCTAGTTCCATTTTTGTGTCAATGTCTGATGTTCAGGGGGTGAGCCCCAGTCCTGCAGTTCAGCATTTTCCATCTGCTATCAACAATGTAATGCCAGCTGATGTGCAGGGAGTTGTGCATCAAACTAATCTAGTTTCTCCATCAACTCTTGGTCACCAGTCAGGATCGCAAAATCAACAGGATACCGAAGAGACCGAAGAGAGAAGAGCTAGTTCAGGACACATGGCAGCCGGAGGTTCTCTCAGTGGTGGTACTGAGGCAGCTGTTGCACGAGATGCTTTTGAAGGAATGATAGAGACTTTATCAAGGACTAAAGAAAGTATTGGACGTGCAACTCGCCTTGCTATTGATTGTGCTAAATATGGCATTGCAAATGAAGTAAGTTACATGATATGCTTATTTATGTTTGGTGTTGGTTTAACAATGTCAATGAGCGTGTTCATTCCCAAATTTATATATTATGATTTATAATTGTATTTTAAACAGAATGGTAATTATTGCATTTGATGTTCATGATGTCAAAATTCTTTTGAAGACTACTTTTTGGAGGAAGTTTAGAATACATAATTTGTATGCAGGTTGTTGAACTTCTTATCCGGAAGTTGGAAAGCGAGCCCAGTTTTCATCGTAAAGTTGACCTGTTCTTTCTTGTTGATTCAATAACCCAGTGTTCACATAATCAGAAAGGTTGGTTCTGCGATCTTGATTTTGAATGTGCTAAGTTACTTTCAAATACTGAATGTTCTTTCTTGTTGGTTCAATAACCCAGTGTTCACATAATCATAAAGGTTGGTTCTGCTATCTTGATTTTGAATGTATTCAATTACTCTCAAATACTGAATTTATTTGGTGCTGGCAATTAAGAAAAAATGTTTAGTTTATCTTATTTCTTGCTGGTTTAGCATTATTTCCTAACTTCTTATTTGTTCTGAAACAGAATTCGTACTGGGTCACATCGCTTTTAGACTTTTGAATGAGTGCATGTTTATTTTAACAAGAACACTCTTTTAATTGCTCTTCAACTTGCATGCCCACACACGCTGAAATAGTTACATGTGATCTATTAATGCAGAAATTCATGTAAATGGTTATGGTTAATGTTTATTTAGGCATTGCTGGTGCTTCATATGTCCCTACGGTTCAAACAGCATTGCCCCGTCTCCTTGGTGCAGCTGCTCCACCTGGAGCAAGTGCTCGTGAAAATCGTCGTCAATGTCTCAAGGTATGCTATCGTTTTTCAATTATAAGAAATTATTCTTCTGTTTCTTCCTTTTCCCTCCTCTCTCTGAAGGATAAAGGGATCTATCGTCTATACCAGGTTTTACGGTTGTGGCTTGAGAGGAAAATTTTACCTGAATCTATTCTGCGGCCTTATATGGACGACATTGGAGTTTCAAATGATGATACAATTTCAGGATTTTCTCAAAGGCGCCCGTCTCGAGCTGAACGTGCTATCGATGATCCTATAAGAGAAATGGAAGGCATGCTTGTTGATGAGTATGGCAGGTCTGAAAACTCTTTCAACCATCTAAACCAAATGATTATAATGACAATGAATATAATATCTACTACATTACTCTTAAAGTTTGGTTTTGTTTAGGTTTGCTTTCAGATATGTTTGAAATCAAACTAAGAACAAATTTACTTATCAGTTTGATTTTCAGACCAAATTAAAACTTTTGCTTTTCAAACCAAGCCAAATCAGTCACTTTAATCTGATTTTCAGCTTAGATCAAATTCTGAATATTCCATTTCACTAATTTGCCTCTGTTGTGTGCTCTGATTAGAATATACAACTACTAAATTTTGAGTTATCTTACAAAATAGTTTTCTTAAATCACTAAATTTGAAGTTATTTCCTGTGTTTGTTATAGCAATTGTGTCGGATCCTCTATTTCTAGTATTTGTCACTTGAGAGGAAAATCAACTTTCTGACATCAATTTTGTTGGTTCTTGTAACCAGTAATGCTACATTTCAGCTGCCTGGCTTTTTGTCTTCTAATGCATTTGAAGATGAAGAGGAAGAAGATCTTTCAAACAGTTCTTGCAGAGAAGCTGCTGATGCATCAGCATTAGAACAAGGTCAGGCTTCAGGAGAGTTAGAAACATGTACAGTTACTCCAAGTGATAGGCGTCATTGCATCTTAGAAGACGTGGATGGTGAGCTTGAAATGGAAGATGTTTCTGGACACCTGAAGGAGGGCCGACTATCATTCACGAATGATAGTCTTGAAATGGAGTTGCAGCAGCAGGGCACTGATAAAATTATTGAACCAGGTTCAAATAGCTCCAATGAATTCCCTCCTCTACCAGAGGGTTCCCCGCCTTTGCCCCCAGATTCTCCTCCACCCCCACCACCTTTGCCACCTTCACCACCTCCACTTCCGCCTCCACCTCCACCTCCATCATCTCCATCACCACCTCCACCTCCACCTCCTCCACCTCTACCAACGCTACCACCCCCTCCTCCTGTGCTGTCTTCATGCCCTCCGCCAGCCTTTATACCTCAACCTCCATTGCTATCTCAACCAATGCTACCACCCCAGTCATCAATACAGTCTTCACCACAGTTGACATATCAACCGCCTGTACCTCATGAATTCCGGGGCACACCAAATGTAAGACTCCTAAATGTATCCTTTGCTTGTTATGGATTATGTTTATAGTTTTTCATTTATTAAGCATATGTATTTGTATGCAGTGTAATCAGATAGTTCAAATGGCTGGAAATACTCCTCATGGGGGCCATATTGATGCTGCTGTGAAAAGCGAATTGTTTCCGCAGAAATCACCTTGCTTTCCAACGGGAGTCTGCAATTCTAGAGAGCCTTCTGGATATAGTTCTTCAAGGCAATTGGAATATGGAAATAATGAAATGTACTTAAATCCCCAATCATCTCAACCAAGTCAACAGTTTCAACCTGGTAATACAGCCTTTGTGCAGAGACCTTTACCCCCTAGTCTGCCACAAACCTCATCTAGCCATTTCTCATTCACAAAGCCTGCCATGCCACCGCATCCTCAGCATCCATATCCTCAATACCCACTGCCATCACAACATGATGGCCGGAGGCCATTTGTTGCTGATGAACAGTGGAGAATGCCTGCAGGAGAATATAACACTGATAATCAGCGTGGTGGGTGGATAGCAGGAAGAAATCCATCACCTTCTGGCCCTTTGTTTGTCCAGGAAGGTATGCATTAGCCCGTCCTTCAATCAAATTTTAAGCTTGACTCATCATAAATTTACTCATAATCCTCATGAAGCTTGCATGATAAAAAGATGGATGTTTAGGGCATTATTTATCTGTTTTTGATATGATCATGTTGTTTGTACTTGCAAATTAAACATATGCCCTTCTGAACTAAAGGATATAAACCCAAAATATATATAGAACATGTTGACGGTATAAATATGCAAAAGCATGCCTTATGCGGTATCTAAATTTTTTCATTGCAATTTGAATACACTCTGATAGGATTAGTTTATTAACTTGCTTTGAACTGTTGTCATGACTAAGTTTCTACCTTTCTTACGAGTCTTTGTCCGTAAGGAAATGCTATTAAGAGCTCACAGCCTTGAGTCTATGAATAAGTATATGAGATGCTCTGTTGTTTTTACTTCTTCATTCATATCTATGTGCACAGCTTCCTCTTTCTTGTGTAGAGGCCTTAAAGTGTTTATAAGATGTATCTATGGTCCTATTCTCTTTCCTTTATTGAAAAATTGAGCTCAACCTTTTGATGGCACTTATGTTAATTATTTGACAGGTTATTTTAGACCAACTGTTGAAAGACCACCCTCAAGTAATATGGGTTTTCCAATTGCTTCTACTAATCATTTACCAGCTGGAGCTCCAAATTCAGGTACTGCAATTTTTAATTGCTTTCTCGGTTTGCTTGTAATTCCTTCTTTTGCCAGTTAAACAATCAAGTACCTATTAAACCAGAGAATGACTTCATGGTTTTATCCTGCAGGTCATGGTGTTTCGCAAATGTTGCCATGTCGACCAGACATGTCTGCCATTAATTGTTGGAGGCCAGCTTGAGAATGAGGAAATAGTCTTATTAGGTACTCATTTTATTTTCATACTAATTTGTAATGAATTTCAGATTTAACAATTTCATCTTTTTTTTTTTAATTATAAATAGAACATTTCATCTTTGTTATTGAAGTGAAAGTGAAAATTTCTGCTATAGAATTTGCTCATCTTTTTGCTGATTTTGCTTTTAAACTACCATTTAATATAATCTGAAGTTGAAATTTGTGCCCCTTTTGTTGCAAAAATAGAGATTTTTTTTTTTTTGTGTTTGTTTGCTCACATGTAATCTTCTTGCTTAAGTTTACAATTTGTTTCATTGCCATTTTCTGCTTTAAAAATAGGGCGAGTTTGTTCTCCCAGGATAGAAGAAAGATGCTAAACTCGAGATCCTCTGACTGTCCTTTCCACTTGTTGATCAATTCTTGCTTTGTTGTTCTGATGAATTATTTATTATTTATTATTATTATTATTTTATTTTATTTTTTTGTAGTTGGCTGCAAGACAAGTTACATAAAAGGGTGGGTTCAATTTGTGGACAAAATACAACTACCACATGAAGGCGGTGTTAACTTGTGGAGACTCTTGGCAGGATTGTGTATAGTGTAATTTTTCCTGACATATGTATCCCAGGAACATTTGCTTCTGAGTGTAGGCCCATATTTCTGACTTGGTTAGTTCATCTGTTTCTTGGCTTCTGTAATTATACTGAGTATAAAGTTAAAAGAAATTTATTTCTTGTTACAAATTTGAACTCTGAACTTAGTTGTTTTTAGAGGCTTTTTTTTTTATTCTTATTCAAAAATTGTTTGTGTTCAGTTAATTGCATGTGATGCAGGCTTTCCCTTTATTTTGGTGCCACGTTCACATAAATGCTTTTTTACATTCAATTGAGCTGCATTTTTAGTGATTATCTTCTGGTGTTTTATAGGAAGCACAGTTGTATCTAAACATAGCTTTGACATTGCTAATTTATTGTTTAGATACAATTGTGCTTCACTGCTACACACGTCAATCATTGAAGTTTATGTTCTTTTGGAAGAAGGATGAACTTGTTTAGGCACTGAATCCATTTCCATATTCCCCTCTCCTCCTTTATTTACTTAAGAGAAGCAGATATGCTTTAAGAAACAGTTAAGCAGAGACAACTTAAGCGGAGATTGTGAAAGGCCATTAGCTGGGATGGTTTAGGCATTCTCCTTATAACTTGTGGTGATGCTAAAGGCTGATAACTTGGGTATCAGCTTATAAACTGTCTACTTTATGTTGTTAGTGGTGGTAGCATAATTTTGTTCTTTTTGTTTCTCTTATATTTCGGGTTCCTTAATCATCAAATATTATTTTGGGACTCTGGAATTGATATAGTTTAGGGAATATTTCTACACCATCTTATTTTCTTTGATCATGTTTGACTTGGCATGGAGATTAAAAAAGACTTTTGACCCTAAGTGTATTTTTGGTAATATTCTTGTTCAATGATTTTTAATGCCAAAAAGGTTAGGGTTAATATAAAAAGTAGAAAAAGTAAATTTTATTAGGTGCTCAAGAATGAAAAGAGGATATAGTTTGGGAAATCTAAAAAGGGAAAGAGGGGCAAATAGAATGCAACAGAGGGAGTAACACATTCCTAGTTCTTGCTGAGGTTCATACATCTTCAATGTCTTCACATTTGTAGATGGAGATCAGATGGGACATTTTCTTATTTTATGGGACTTGGGATTTATACCTTTTAAGTCTAGAGACTTTGACAGCTGCATTTAGGGACTTGGAATCTATGCATTCCAAGTCTAGAGACTGTGACAGCTGCATTTAGCAGGAGTGCTTATTTGGATTCTTGCAGGAAATGGAATAGTAAACCTTATGCTATCTGTTCCTACATTGCCATTGAGATGTGTAAACTTGTACATGTAGTTGCTGTCTGAATTGGTGGTTGCTTCATCAGTGATGCTTGTTTGGATGGGCAAGGTTTAGATATATAGATACTGAATGACATGTATCTTTGCATGGTTTTTTGAAAGTACTTGAGCTTTCTCTGCAATTCATCAACCAAGTCCTTTCTTGCTAAGATTCAGGTCTTGTTATGTGAGCCAGTTTTTAACAATATGGCTTGCTTTAGGGTGCAGCCATAGGAAGCTATTTAATGCTGAATCCTAATTTTTGACCATTCATTTATTTATTTTTATAATGGAATTGGGTAAGAAAGAAGACTTGAGATGCTTATCCTGTTTCTATTTTTGAAAATATTATTAATATTGCAGCTGCTTTGTGTTGCAATTGATTTACGGAGCAATTTCTAGATACTGAAACAGCAGTAGTTTGTTGGCTGTAACTAATTAAAAAATACGAGACAATTATTGTTTCTGTTTTTTCCATTGCAGCAAATTTTTTTCTTCTCTCTTCTTCTTCAAAGGACTCTTGTACAGAAAATATTCAAAGGAATCAGAATTTGAGAATTGCTACTAATAAATTTTCCTATTGATCTTTTTCTCATTTTCTTTCTTTTTTCTATCTGTAACTAGTATCATTTTTGGGTTTGGTGGACTGGCAGTGGGGGGGGAGTAAGGGCTTACATAGGGCATATTAGCAGGTGCAACTGGAAGGGTGATTTCGGTTGTTTATCCTGCATATTTAACTGTATGATTATCTTAGCAGCTTGAGATCCTTGAGGTTTTGCAGCTTGTGTAAGCATAACAGTTTATCTTTAGTCTTTTTGAACAATGTAGCATTGATCTTTCATATAGAACTGTTGAGGGAATTGATGACAAAATATTTTACATTTATTACATTTTCTGGACTTTCATGTTATGCAAAATTTTAAACAGATATATCCAATAGTGATAACATGCTAATGCATGGAAATTGGTCTAATTTGATCGAACCAAGCCTGAGCTCAGTGATTTGATCGAACCAAGTCCGAGCTCAGTGATACTTTTGGTGCTAAAGAAGAATTTGATGAAGTGGGGGTGTTACTCCCTTTCAAAGATAAAATGCCTCACTTCTGTTAGGGATTTAAATGGGAAATTGTGGTGTAATAAATCTGAGGATTAGGTGGGGGTAATACTGGTGAATGAATCTTTGCAATACTGCTTATGCATTCCTTAAAATTTTATCCAAGATTTTCAACTCAGATACATCATATAGTATGTTTGCTGCACATGATAGTTCTAAAATTATAGACAAGGGGACATTCAATGTTGGAATGTACAGCAACATGATCCATTTTAGTCAGGGAGGAACACATAGAGGTCAAAAGTTTGGAGTTAACTATGTGTGAAAGGGTAGGGAACCATGGGGCTTTAATATGTGCAAAGAAGCATGGTGAATTAGATTTGGATCATATAAAAAGTTGCAGATATTCCTTGGTACTATGATTATTGCTGGTGATGAGTAACATGAACAGTGAATTTGATCTTCAGCTAGAAATTGAATTTTTGATTAGTGTCTCAAAGAAGATCTTGTGAGGTTTAAGCAAGCAAATCCAGGGTAGTTATATGTTCTGAATTTTCTAATTATCTGATATACTAAATAGGAACCTGATAACATGAAAGACCTAAATTAGCTTGATTTCTTGGAATTTCAGTAAACCTGGAAACTGGTAAATCACCCTTAACCAATATGATTCTAAAGTTGATTTTCCTTTTGATTGCTATGAAGGGGAAACTCAGTTCAAACCTCCTTTTGGGATAAGCTGCTGATAGCAGTCATACTACTGGCTGAACTACAAAACTACAAGAATTAAATAAAATAAAATCCGCTATATCTCGGTGCAAACAAACATAAACTTAATAATGATTCCCATAATAGGTATTTGAATCACTTATTATACTTTCTAAATTCAGTTAACTGTTCTTTTTTTTTTTTGGCTAAATGTTAAGAAATAAAACTGAAACAGATTTGTTAGCTAGTAATCATTGTGTGCTGATTGTTGATATTTGTTGTTTTTTCATGTAGCTTCTCTCAGTGGCTCTACCTGCACTCTATTTGGAGGTCAGTGTCCTCCCTCTATCTTTATATTAAATTGTCCACCTTATAGCTATGAGTAAATGATTGTTGATAAGCTTGCTGGCATTTATCTTGATCTCTCCAGTGTTTAGCTTGGGGTAATTGGACTTTGTAAGAATTATTAATTTTTAATTATATACTAGTTGAAAAGTAGGTGGTATGAACTTTACTGACATGGTATGCTATCCTAGTATTCTATGAACTTTAAAATGGCTTGAAGCATAACCCATGTCCTACGTTCTTTTTCCTGCTAGTTAAAGAAAAGTAAAAGCCGAAAAGCCATTTATGTGATTGATATTCTTTTTATGTTTGCTGGTTGGTAAAAGAAAATTCAGTTGAGAATAGTATGGTCATTATATGTATGTTACAGGTTTTGGAAATCATTTGATCCTGAAATGTCAACATTTATGGTATTGCGACTTGGGAATCCACCAATGTTGACAGGTCCTAAGCAGAGCAAACTACTGCAAAATGTTGAGGTAAATATTTGACATGGATTCTTGAACCAAGACTGCTTGGAATTTTTAAATTCGTCAGATAGGAATACTTCTCACGAGGATGTTTCTTTCAAAGTGTAGGTAGTTAGAAAATGCTTCAAAATTTTTTGTTAAACTTCCATGTTTATAAGGTATCATGTACTATTATGTATATTACATGTAAATGTTGCATACTTTTGTTTTCTGAGATAACTGATATTATTACACTGCTATTAGCTTATGTCTTCTTTCTTTTCAATTCATTTTCTTCTTTCTCGTTCGTTGGTTGCTGGAATCATAGCCTTTTGACCTGAAGTTGCACCATAAATTAAGGTCCTTAGATAATACTGCTGTTATTTGTGTCTCCTTTGCCTTTAGTTTTCTGGGCTGTCATAAAGTGAGAAAGTTTTGCAGGACTTCTCAGTTACTGCATTCATGTGACCTGTTATCAATGTACCTATTGGACTTCATGCACATGCTTCAGTTTTGTGCACTTCTGGTCTTGGATATCTAATTTAAAAAGTTAAGGACACAACTGCTTCTGTCTATTCCCTCAACACGTTCATCTTTTTCCATGCCAACACATACCCATTAATGTTCTTTTTCTAATAAATACCAAGGACATATTGAGAAAAAAAAATGTTGGGGGGGTGGTTAATCTCAAATGTGATTAATGGTCAATAATATTTTTTTGGTATGAAGGAGGCGTCAGCTTATAAGTATTGGAATTTGAATTCTAACTTTTTGAATATCATTTTTTAATGATGATTGTATCGACTCACTAAATTAAACCTTTAAGTTAATAATATTTTCTTGTGCTTGTTATGCATCAATCTGTGTATAGTGATGGTTGCGTGGGGAATGGTCATTTGTTGTTTTCTATATATCGACGTTGGAAGGATTACAATATTAGTTGAGAATAATGATGGATCTCTCTCTCTGAATATTTGATGAAAGGAGTAGCCATTAAAATGATAGATTTGCATTTCCATCAACCACAAAAGATGCAGTCTCTTTACAGCCTATGACAATTTCATGCACAGAGCTGCCTGCCGACATGAACAATGGACAATTAAGGTTTTATTGGATTGTGGATTTTTTTTTTTCCTCCCGGATATTATATTCTATTACAAAAACCAACGTTTCATAGATATTCTAAGTGGATCTTTTTAATATTTTTTGTGAATATTTATTTCTTGTAATAATTACTGAATGAATGGGCTTGTAAATTTTTTATTTTATATGTATAATAGATAAACGAGATTTTGTATGAAATTATTTCCCAAAAGATTTTGGTTTTACAAACTCTGATATGTTAACAAAAACAAGGAATAGACTTTTATCGATTCATGAATAAATCAATCCATTTATAAATTAAATATTATAATCAAACAACACTGCAAAATTTTAGAGGAATGGGGGACGATCAATCGTCCCCAGAAGCTAACATTCGTCCCCAAAATTTGATTTATGCCGTAATGAAGGACAACATTCGTCCCCAATGCTTGAGTAACGAGCGTCACAAAAGCTCATAAAACATGTCAGAATTGTTCCATATGAGGTAACAAAAATGACGAAATTAGGCCGCCATGTCTTTGAAAAAATTTTTCTTTTAAGGACGATTGACGTTCCCAAATTATAAATGGCACATTAACTGAAATAATGTTGTTGCTTAATCATCTATTGTGGCAGTCCAAAATCAGATAAAAGCATTTCCCAGCTGCCATTAATCTCACCAAATAGTATTCTTTTATAAAGCAAACAAATAAAAGACATCAAGGGGAAGAGGGGATTGGCGATTTTGCTTCTCTCAAAGTCTCAGTAGCCAGGGTTTTTCAAGGATAAGAAATGGGGAAATACTTTATTTATTTACAATCTGAATCTAAGAGTTGAGAAATAGCAGCAAAGGGTTGAAACCTGCTAGACTTTGGGATTTTTTTGGTTTAAATAACATTTAAATTTTAAAATGATAGATTTAAAAAATTTTTCTAAATAAATCAAATGTATAAAATTTTAAAAAATTTTAATAAATTTGGATACATATTTTTACGAAAACTTTTAACAAAAATTTTACAGTTAAATAAATATTTATAAAATTTGAATTATAAATAATATTTTCAATATTTTCTATATATTATTGTTTTTTATTGAGCTATAATAATTCATCCATAAGTTTATAGTGAAATTTTTATTGAATAATTTTTAAAGAATATGTAAAAAATTTCATCTAAGTCTTGTTATCAAAACTAATTTATTTTGTGGTGGTCGGACAAAAAGTGTTAAAACTATTCAATCTGGTTCTGCACTTTCCTAGTTTCCTCTCAAATTTTGGCATCTCACCTCTGACCCCTTTATTTTGGGATTAATACATTTATTTGACTATTTTTTTTCCTACAAAATGGAGATTTTTTTTTTTTACAAAGAAAGTCGGGAGATAAAAAAAAAATTGTAAGTGCTGAGACATGAATTTTAAATCTGTTAAATATTTTTCTAAAGATGATTACATAAATTGACTGAATTAAGTTTCAATTTCAAAATAAAAAATTTAATCAAGAGAAATTATATGGAAACAGGCTCGTGTATATTGATTCATTAATCTATATATGTAATTTCATGGTGTTTGATAACAAACTTCATGGATAACAGTTGCTGGTACACTCAAAACTTGCAGAGAATTCACTCCAATCCTACCCTTCAATATGCTAAAATCTACAAAAAAAAAAAAAAAAGAAACACCATGAAACATTTGAACAAAGAACATATTGTATGCAGATATTTACTTTGCATGAAAAGAAGAAGATATGAGGCTTGTTTCCAGATCATATCATGCTTTGTTGAACTGTAGCTGTCATCAATGTGAGGATATTTCTTCCATATCCATGCTGAAGACGGTTAAGATGTTGCTGAAGTTTCACAACAAGACTTTCATGAAGTGGACTACATGTTTTCTTTGTCTCTCTTAAAGCTGTTTGGAGCACATAGTTTCCATACTGATCCTTGGCAACTTGGAAAAGTTGATTGCTCTGAAGAAATTCAATTACCACATGATCCATCCCTGCTGATCTCAAGCACTTCTCTACTACATGACTTCCTCCTTTCTGAATTGATAGTTTTACATAGTAACCTTTCAGGTTGGAGCAAATTTTGTCGATAATGGCAGGATTATGGAGTTCCAGAACGCACTGCACAACAAAGTTCCCTGCAGGATCTTGTGCCAGGTACACCACATGATCAGATATCAAGTTCAGGAGTTCATCTCTTCGGGGACCTTTGATGCGGGAGATGAAACTGTTCAAGGATGCACATCCTCTCTCATGTGTGGCTAGTTGGAGACAGTTATTGATGGCTTCAATGTATAGAAAATCATTCTTCTGAGAATCAACAGTGTCTAGGCACTCCATTATAACATTTTGTCCTGTTTGATTGACCATCAGTTCCCAGAATTTGTTGCACAAAGCTTTCACAACCTCAGTAACCAATGGTGATTTCTCTAGCACTTTGATCAGCTTCTTCATTGAATAACTGCCATATTTATCAATTGATGCATCGAAGATGGCTCCACAAGAGGATGCTAGTTTCTCCATAATCATCCCCAACTGGTTTTGATCTTCTAACTCAATCAGCTTTTGAAATAGATAGCGTCCATATTGGTTGGTCATCAGCTGGAATATGTACTCAATAACCCCTTCAAATATCAGTTTCCTGATACTCGAGTCCTTCAACAACAAATCCTGCAAATATTTTGAGCCATCTTCAGTCATGGCCAGTGTAATAATCCTACTAACTCGCGGGCGCACATTGCCATTGATCCTCTGTTGAGTCCAGAAAACATTAGAACTTGCTTCAGGATGAGAAGGAAGGCCGGGGTTTCCATTAGAAAAACTACCGATCAAGTTAACATTATTGAACATGGAATCCTTCCGTTCCGGTGATGCCAAACTATACGGGTATGGTGCACCAAAACCATGGCCGACATTCAATATTTTTGAAGAATCCAGAATGCTTTCTCTGTTGCTCAATAGACCAGGCAAGACGCCTGTTAAAGAACCATTCAGAGGCAAAGATGAAGAAACCCTTTTGCCCTGAGCCTGAGGAGCAATAGCCAAGCCATTCTTCACATGAAGATTCCCAAAAGAACGCTGAAGGGTTTCAAGAGAAGTACAACCCATGAAAGCCGTTGTGTTGAGGGTACTTTTAGGATCAGCAGCAGAGTTCTCCATGGAACTTGCAGAACAAGAAACAAGAAGAACAAGAGGAAACAAGAAGCAGAGAGAAGGAAACCAATAAATGAGATATGAAGCAAATTTTCCTACTTATAATACTCGAAATTGTTCAAGTTTGTGTAGGATTAATTGAAGGGTTAGCTCAAGATTACAAGTTGGTTTAGAACTAGGAATTCAAGTATTGTACAAAGAGAGAGCTAAATACTTGTTTAGCAAGGAATCCTCACCAGGCTAAAAAAATTATTGTTTTCAAAATAAAAGTATATAACAAGGCAAATATTAAAAAAAAAAAAAAAGGAAAATTTGGGTTTTAAATCCTTCCTTATCCACTATTTTTAAAAATAAAAAATAAAAAACTTATCAAAATTCATTAACTCTTTGTATATGCATTTCTAGTTTTGATTTCTTTTTTCTTAACATTCATTAATAATTTATATACACATTTTTATATAATAGGTATCTATGAAGTCTCGGTAAATTTTTTTTTTTTATACTTTGAATATAAAAATTTGTGCAAATTTCTAATTAAGCTTATGAGTCCCAAACCCTTACTTGCTCACATGACAAATAATTATGTATTGTTATTAAAGCAAATGGTCTATCAATGAAGTTTTATCTTAATAATAAGAAGAGCTTTTCGAACCTTAAAATTTCAAATTAAGTATCATTGCATGTTAATTTAATTTAATTTTGTGTTAAATTTATTTAATTACGTGCTTCTTAACCAATTGATTTGTTTACATGATTGAATTAAATAATTTTTTAATTTTTTATATGAAAGATGTAATCCTTTATTATAATTATAATATGTGATAAACATGATCAAAATATTCAGGTGATCACAAAAAATCTGCTGTTCACATGCCATAAATTATGTGTGATTACACTTGATTATTACCATTATAAGAGACCTAAATTAGAACAGCTAGAAAATTTATCTAGTTACACCCAAGGCTCAATTTTTTATTTTAAAATAATATAATTATTTGAATTTAATTTTACTTATTTCTTTATTTATGTATGAAAATATAAAAATTTGTAAATTACAGCATTTTCATAATTTTCATTTTAAGAGTTTTAAGAGATTTTCTAAAAAACGTGTTTGGTTTGAGAAATTTTTTTTGTATTTTTTATTTTCATTTTCTAAAAAATAGTTTTTTTTCTTTTTTTGTTTTCTAAAAAATGTATTTGATAAATGAAAATAAAAATTGTTTCTTAAAAATGTAAAAATAAGAAAATAATAAAATATTCAATGATATTATTATTAATAGCATTTAATTATAAATATTAAAATATTTATTAATTAATGACATTTAAAAGTATTTAAATATAGTAACCTACAAAATATAAGAAAATAATTAATATATATCTCTTGTTTTCACAATTGAAAATATTTTTTTTGGCTTTCATATTTCAATCCATTTTTATTTTTGTTTTCCAAAAATTTGTTTTCATTTTCAATTACCAAACACATTTTCACTTATGTTTTTCATTTCGAAAAAAAATGAAAACAGAACATGACTCTATTTTTTTTGAAACCAAACACCACCTAAGATTTTCTTTTTTTTGTTGGAATTTTTTTTTTTTAATTTACGAAAAAATTGAGGGTCTCATTCAATTAAACCTTCATTTAACCTGAAATACGATTTTGAAAACTATTTTTATATATACAAAAACATTGTTTTATTCCTTAACTAAATAAAAAAAAAATTATGAAGGCCTAATTGTTTGACAAATTTCAAAGAATGAGGCCCTCAATTAAGGTTAACTAGGTTACATACCCACGTTTTACCGTGAAAATAAAATAAAGTTATATACTTATAATTTAATTTTAGAATTAAAATAAGTTGGGAGCATCTTCTGTTTTGGAACATCAAACCAAACCCTAAATATTGTGAGTTACAATCAGTGAATCAATAACTAACTTAACAACTACGTTACAAATTTCATTAACAATTTTCAAGTTAGAAGTAAGCAACGGGAATAAAAAATGCTCACAAAAATTTCGTTGATCTATTTCGATTTTTTTTTTTAATTTTCCTTTCATTTTATCATCATATTGCTTAACCAATTAAATGCTTGTAAAATTAAGCAACCAAAATGAAGTTGTCACCACACATCAAATTTGCATTCTGCATAGAGCTTTTCTGCTTTGAAAGCTTAAGGTTTCCCTCAGCAGCAGAGTATCATCAAATAGAATAATAAATAAACAATTGAAGGCAAACTCTGAAGAATCTAAAAGAAAATTGGAAAAAGAAAGAAAAAAAATGAAAGAACTCTTCGCATTGAAAATTCTCTGAGTCTCTCAGAGCAATTTCATAGTGATTTACTAGCAGAGTCTTTTTTCACGATGATTTCATAGTCAATTTTTTTTTTAACATTTGGAAACCAAATAAATTTGTGAGTATAACTTTGCAAACACTAATCTACAAACTATAAGAAAACAAAACTCAATATCTCATTAAAAACCTTAGTAAGAAAGCATCTGCCGTTGTATCTTTGAGCTAAGTAGCTACATCACATCTGATTTCAAGTGCCTTAAGATGAATGGCCACAAAATGGGCTTCATCCGATCAATCAACTCCTTATCTTTTGCATTTAGTAGCTTCTTCAAGTCTACATCCTTAGTGGCAAAAAGGTCAGGCATCATCAACTCTAGCAATGACCACAGCTCCTACAATAAAATCCTATCCACCCAACAACAATAAAATAACATGTAGAAGACTCAGAAGCATATTCAACAAGAATAATTTCTAATGCTTTTGATACCACTAGCATTTTATTGAGACAAAAGAAAACTTATCAGAAGCTTTTATGGTAACAGGACATGTATTTTTTACAAAAATTGAGATTCAATTAACAACAAAAAGAATATATGAAAGATTAAGGCACAAAAAACCTTCTTTTATCTAAATTAGAAATTCAATGCATGATCCATTGTTGGTCCAAGTGTACTCTTGCTCAATCCCAAACCTAAATAGAAAGATAAAATCACAGAAGGGCATTTCCATTTTTAACCGACATAAGAATCAGTGATGTAAAGAATGGTTTCACCTTGCATGGCAAGCCACATATGTAACATTTAATTGAGTGCTTACACCTTCAGACTTGCGAGATTGAACTAGGTTACACACACATTATGTGATAAGGATAGGATGATCAATCTGTTTTGCCTTCAAATAAACAACAAATCGAGAAAGAATAAATTAAAATTGAAATGTCATATATAGATAGTTTTAACAACGAATATGGAAACCAATAATACAATACAGCATGAAGAAAAATGTCAAACCAAGTTCAAATCCTATGAAAACTAATACCTAAAGACAATTTACATATTGCTAAAGTATTCCTAATTACCAACACAAGCAGCTGTACATTAGATCATTTAAGAGATGGTTACAAAAGAAGTAAACTTATCGTTGCACCCGAGATCCATTTGCACCCAACTGATCAAAGCCAAAGTCGAGAATCTGTAATGACAAAAACTGAACGTGTAAAGTTAGCATTCACGTGGTACTCTTAGCAAATAAGTAAAGCATAAAAGCACTTAAACAGCTGAGCCATGCCCAAATCTCTAAACTTTCATATCTACATTCAATCATACACCAATCTTATCCAACATTCTTGACCTACTAAAGCCATTTCTATTTCACATTCCGAATCAAATTTCATTTCACTACCAAAGGTAGTATCATGGTCACCAATAATTGCCTTCGAATTTTTTATATGAATGCATTTTTAAAGGTTTTTCTTTCTTTTCGAGGCTTTTTTTCGTTGAATGAGGAATGATATACCAGACTGTTGGAGCTAAAGTGGGGATAGCTCAGTTGGGAGAGCATCAGAGTGAAGACCATTGGAACTGAAGCGGGGATAGCTCAGTGGCACAAAAGGTATGATCCATGAAAGCCTTCCATTTCCTTTATTTGTCTCTATCCAAACATAGAACAAAGGAAATGTTAAAAAAAAAAAATGTTTCCATTTTAGCCTCTAAAAATGAAATAAAATTCAAACTTGAAAACTTCAGATATTGCAAGCATTAATTAGAATCAATGTTTAGCAAGCTAAAATTACAGACAGCTAACCTCAAACTCAACTTCATGCTCTTTCTTTTCATTTCCTTTCAACATCGATTAGAGAGGAGCAAAGAAGTAAATAGAAAAAAATAAAATAGATTAAAATAAATCTATTTTAAACAACAAAAACACCAAATTAAGTTGGCCTTGGCATTGTTATATTGGAAACAACCTCTCAATCTCATTCATTTTCCTTTTTTCCCAACTCTTATTTTTCTTCTTTCCCTTCTTTCTCTCACTGGTGCCTCTTATTCCCTTTCCCATTTTCATTTTTTTTCCTTTTAAATTCTTCTTTTATCCCTTCTTACAAAATATCCTTGCATAAATTACCATCTATTCCTAAATTGTCCCTGTAATAACTTTTTATGACATAGCTAAAATGGCCATCAGCTAAGAGGGCCATCAAATTGAAACAAGGGGTAACTTTCATATAATGTTATAGACATGTTGATACCAAATTTAAAAGGTCATATCCTCAAGCTACGCATTGAAAAATTATTACTTTAGGTGTCATGCAATTGTTATTGTAGTTCGCTTACAAATATTGAGACTAACTGTAAGTTCACTATTGGTTATCATATGGTAATACCTCCATTAAGTGAGGTGTTATATTCAAGTGAGGTGTTATATACAATGGGTACATCCATACCTTTGATTGATGAAAATGGTAATCATGCTCCTAAGAAGTTAGTATAAAAAATATTAAACAAATGCTGAGGAAAAACACAGAAAAATATAATGATACTGTGATAAAATAAGTCTTCATTATAATGTATCATGTTTATGAGTATTCCCTAGCATTTAAAGAGTGGCTTAAGATCTCAAACATGGATCTTTTTACCTAAATTATTAAAGATATGGAATCAAATATAGGAAGTGTAAAAATACCCGAAGCCAAAGCTGTTACACATAGACAAAATCATTATTCCAATCAAATATCTTTGGTTTTTTTTTAGTAGATTCTTTAGGAAAGAGGTCATATGGAACTTCTATTGTTGATGGTGATGTGGGGATTTGGTCCCTATCTAGCTGGTAGTTTATATTTTTGAGCTTCAAGTTGAGAATTTAGCATATTATTATTCTTTTTTAGAATCTTGGCCCAATTATTGTCCCCATTTCCATCTATTGACAATCACTTTTGCTTCAATCCCTTATGAACTATAGATCCTCTTTGAGCTTTTAAACTTGAACACTTTTCCAATTAGCTTCACCTGCAGAATAGAAGAAAAACAATAGGTCTTTCGTTGTTTGTTCTAAGCTCTTAATAGCGATGATAAGGCATGTGCTTTAGTAGTGGTTCTTTCACAAATCAAAATGACGAAATAGGTTTAAGTAATTGGCATTTGACAGTTGTACACATTTGATCCTATAATGTATAGATATAGAAAATGCACATTTGTTCTTGTAATGTAATGACAGCAGTGCACATTTGTTATTGTAATGTAATGTAATCAATTCCTATCAGTTATCAAAAAAGTAAACTTCTTTTTCTGTGTAGGTCATGATCAATGAGTTATCAATTCCTATCTACATTGTCACAAATCTAGCACATTTGATCAATCTAGTCACACATTTTGTTAAGGTAAGGAAAGTCAGTTCTTATACAGTCATTTCACATTGACATTTATTCAAACAGGTTTAAACCAATAAATAAAATATTATCAAAACTAATTATAAGAAACACTTTCATAATTAAAATATTCAAATCAGTAAAAAAATAATAATAACAAAAAATAAAACTGCAAAAATTCAAACTTACCAAGAAAATTTTGGAGCGAACAACCAAAAATGAAAGTTGCTCTTAAAGTGGGAGGATTTTGTTTGTGGACATCAAACAGAAAATTCAGCTTGTTTTTAGATTTGGAAGAGTGTGCTCTTAATAAACCTAACACACAAATGTGAAAAACTTCATAATCGAAATCCTCGTAGCTTAAAATAAAGTCAATGAAAAAAATATTAAACAAACCTACAACAAAAAAAAAAAAGAGAATTTGAATTAAAAAAATTGTGAGTAATAAAAAGTCATTGAAATTTCAACTCACAGGTTCTTTGTTAGAAGTTGGGAAATTGATGAAAGATTGGTTGAAGGAAATCCATCTATTGAAAGACCGAAAATTGATGGTTAAACCTTTGGGAGAGGTAGGAAAGACTCTTAAAGTAGACAATCTTAGCTGTAAAGACGACGATAAACATAGTACCATTGGAGAAGCAGAAGCATGAGAAGAGGTGAAATATTCAGCAAAGATAGCAAGGTGCAACAACAGTTTCACAATTTTTTAGCTTTGAATTATTGAATTTTTATCATTGGAAACAAATGATAACAAGGGACGAAAGAGAAGACGTGAAATATTGTTATGCTTGGGAAATAGACCGGTTTCAAGTTTCGAAGTATTTTTTTTTTGGTTAGATAAATTCGGAATAAATAGATTGTTAAATTTTTTAGGTTAAGATAAGGAATATCATATTTAAAATTTTAATATAAATAATATTAAATTTTATCAATGATTATAAATTATGTATTTAAAATAACTCTAATAAATAATCATTGATAAAATTTAAACATAAAATTTTTTCATTGAAAAAAAAAATTTAAGTTATTAAATCAATGAAATATATAAGTTAGAGACAAATATCAACTAACGAGTAGGGTAAGCAACCTAATCCGTCCCCGACGGGTTTTGATCGGACCCGAACCTATATAATCAGATTTTTTTTTTTAAATCTAGTTTCAAGTCAGGTCGAATCAAGTAGTACTAAGAAGAGGTCAGATCGAATTTGGGTTTTAAACAAACTCGATCCAACCCGATATTATATAAAAATAATTTTTTTAATTAATATTTTATTTATATATATTTATATAATTATAAATTTAAATATTTATATTTAAAAAATAATATTTTATTAATTTTAGGTCGAATCGGATACGATTATACACTATTTAATCGGATCGAATTTAAGTATAAAAAAATTAAAAAAATTTATATCAAATTAAATTTAACGAATATAAAATCAAATCAAATTTGAGATGAACTAATTCACCTAACTGTCAACCTTACTAACGAGTATACTAAATAAAAGAAAATTAGCTATTTAAGAAAAAAGAACTGTAAAAGAGTTGAAAGACCCATCTTTAATAAATGCATGCATACAGCTATAAAGAATTTTTCAATGCCCACACATATGTCCTCCAGTTCTTTTTTAAGACATCAATGAGTTGTACGCTACATCAAAGGAGATTACTTTTATTATATGTATAGAGGGGTAGTAAAAATTAGGAGGCTACTTTTAATTATAGTATATAATAATAGATGATGTATTCATATTTATGTAAAGATATATGTTTAATTGATTATTGATTAATGATATTGTATAATTTTTTTTGTATTTTTTTCATAAAAATATTTATCAAAAAATATTTTTATTAGATTTTTTGGGTATTTTTTCATAACATTTTTTTAATAAAAATTTTTATAAAAAAATAAAATAATAGTATCCTAAGGGGACTAATTAAATCAGGAGACAATTTTTAATTATAGTATATAGTAATAAAGATATGTATTTATATGTATGTATGTTTATTTGTGTGTATATATATATTTAATTGATTATTAATATTTTATAATTTTTTGTCATTTTTTTCATAAAAATATGTATTGAGAAATATTTTTATTAAAAAATTGCAATTTTTTATAACATTTTTCTTTTTTAAATAAAATTTTTTATAAAAAATAGAATACAAATCTCATAAGGGACTAATTGTTTTGACACTTAAGAGTCTACTATTATATATATATATATACGTATTTATGTATGTATAAATAGTCAACTATTATATATAACTAGTATTGTAACTGTGCTTCACTTGGGATTGGTTAAGGTCAATAATTTTTCTAAAATATATTATAAAGATAGAATTAAAGATATTTAAATGCATTATATTTGCATATCAAATAAAAAATTGGAAGTTCCACATAAAATAATACAATTTAGTGAGAGATTAAAAGCTAATATTACAATTTTGTTTTATGTACCAAATAAAACAAAAACATGTAAAACAAATTCATAGACAAAAACAAACTCAAACAAAATTCAACTCATAAAACAAGTCCCATTTCATCACACCCAAAAACCCATTAAACCTAAAAAATTGGATAACTATTATGTGTAAAAGACTTATACAATAACAAACTCTTTAAAAATCCAACCTATAGAACAACCCATTTTCCCTTACACCTCAAAACTTGTTAAACCCAAAAAAAAAAATTGTCATAATTGTCATGTGTAGAAGGCTTATCCATATTCCTTCATATCCCAAAAGCCCACTAAACCCAAATAATAATAATAATAATAATAACAACTGTCATGTATAGAAAGCTTAAGAGACTCTTTTAATAGATAATAGTATAGATTATAGATTTAATTATATCTGGAATAATTAGCTTGTTATTCCTGCAATATTCTTATTATTTTTATTTATTTAAATGTGTTTAGATATTTAAATTAATATTATTTAATCATTTAGATGTTCAATATATATATGAACTACAAATAATATAATTAATATATCAAAACATAATAAAGTAAAATTTTTTAATTAAAAATTTCAAAACATATAATAATATTTGAGAAAAATAAAAAATCCAAAAAATTTATATATAAATAGTATTATTGAGTACATTAACAAAATATTAAATTAAAAACTAAAAGTTTCATCACTTCAAGTTAACTTTCTTCAATTTGTGTCATTTTCATCTTGTCAATCATTTTTATATACTTGTAAGTTTATATAATTTTAAGACAAGTTTTATTTATTTAAAAAATAATGATTTTAAATGTTTAAATAACATACGTGATAGCTTACTCACATATATATATATATATATATTTATAGGTTTTAGTAATATCTTAATTTTTAACATTTATAAGATTTGCTAAATTAATTTACATACTTGTTTTAAACTTTACATTTGATGCAAAATTAGGTTATTGTCAAAGTTTAAATGAATTAGTTTTAAATTTTAAACAATTATTTAAAAATTTGTTGTAAAAAGGTTTTAATGATAATATTTTAATTCCTATTCATAGGATTTTATAATCAATTTCAAAGGTCAAAAAATTTGCTTTTTGCTTTTACTACTTACGTTTCGCTTTTAGGAAAAAAAACCAATAATATTATAAAATAATTAAATTATAAAAAAATTAATTTCAAATAAATAAATATGATTTTACTTTTATATAAAGCAATTATTTTAGAATTAGTATTGCATTTTAGTCATTTAGTTTTATTTATAATTTAAAAAAAATAAAAGAAAAATATAACAAAATCAATAATTAAAAGTAAGCCTATACAATCTTTTCTAAATAAATAAATAAATAAAACCAACAAATAATGCATAACAATTAAATAAATATTTTTTATCTTCAATTGTCAAAATATTTTAGAAGAGTCATTATTATGCTAAACCAATTTTTTTCTTCCACTCCAACATCCATGAATTATAAAAAATTTTCTATAAGATCTACGCATACACTCTTGTACAAACAAAATATTCAAAGTTTAAATAAAAATTTTAAAAACAAAAAAAGTATTAATTTCAACTTTTTAACACATTGATGTATAGATTATTAAAAATATATAATAAAAATGTGCATCTCATATATTAAAAAGTTATAAAAATATAATAAAAATTTTTGTGCATTTCACAAGTTAAAAAACCATTTTTATTTACATGCATGAAGGTTAAAAAAAATACTAAAATTAATATTAAGAGTATCATTAAATAATAAATAATGATCTTCTAATGTATGTGATATTTGATCATTTTAAAGTTAAAAATAATCAAATAATAAATGATTATTATGAAATCTCTAAAAATAAAAATTATATTTCAAATTTTTAAATTTAAAATGACATATATTTAAATTATTAAGAAATGCACTTTATAATATCACTACATTTGAGATTTTTAGGTTTAACCATAAGTAACTAATTAAAGTTGACTCTAATAATGTTTCATTTGGATGATCGATGAAGAAGGATTCTCACTGATTATCTAAATGAAGCCTAAATCAAAATTCATATATCTATATATTATGAAGATTGAGCAGTCCTCAAAGATCATTCAAATTTGCTAGTACATGCTATGGTCCTAAACTTTTGATACCTATGAAATTCAAAAGTTGTTCTATATCTTACAAACATAAGGAAGACTTTGAGATTAATTTCAAAATGAACATTTTGCCAAAAGGAACATTAACTAAAACTTAAAAAATTAGTACAACAAACCCAAAACTCTTGGATACATATGTATATGAATTTGCTTATATCAAAATTTGGATCCACTTTCACTATGTTGGCCTTCTATGCTTATAGTAAATAATAAGTCACCTCTAAAGATGTAAATGAGCTTATATGCTTGTAAGCTACTTGAGTTTAGCTTGAAAGAAATTGAAACTTAACTCAATTATTGTTGAGTCAAGTTTGAACTCAAGTAGCTTGAGTTATTAAATAAGTCAAATTCAAAGAGTTTAATGTCTAGCTTGAGTGGTTCGTAAGTCTAAGTAGTTTATAATCTTATATCTAACATTTAAGAATAAAGACTAAGCAAATTAACATGCATGACTTGCCAAGTATTAGATTATTAGATCCAATAGTGAACTTACTAAAAGATAACCCAAATCAAAAGTTAGTGTAAACTAATTACAATAATGTAAGTGGATTAGAAGAGAGCATTTCTTCTTAAGTAATTTGTAGCTAAGGCATTTTTCATATTTAAAAATAAAGATTTCATGAGACAACCTAATATGGCTGGGAAGTTCATAAATAGTCTTAAAAGCCTATCCCATGAAAGTGGATGAAAGTTGTTAGGTATCTAACTTACTACCAATTGGCTTTAAGTGAAATGTTTAATATGGTATCAGAATCAATATTTCTTTCTATTATTATTTCTAAATTTGTCATGTGGAAAGCTTTTTTCATTTTTGCTTACACATGATGGGGGTCTATTAAAGTGAGTTATCTCACATCTAATAAATATTTAATTTTTTATAGTCTTATATTTAGATGGATCATTCCATTTATTGTCAATTAATTTTAAGTTGGATGCTTAACAAAAATAAATCCAATATCTACTGAATATTTCAATTATGATGAAGACGATGATGGTGAAGCATGAATAGCCACTGCCAACGACATAATATGAGTTGTAAAGGTCGAAAGAACAAATAAGCAAACGTTGTTTGAATCCAATAAAATATATAAACGATGCAAAAGGAGAATAATTCATAAAATAATTTTTAAAATTTTAGATAATTAAATAATTATTAAAATATATTTTTGATAAATAATTTAAAATTAAAAAATATATTACGTGTC